CCCAACACACACACACACATACACACAGAGTATGCAGTATGGTCAAATTAATCTTTCACATTTAATGTATCCGTAATTATTTTTGTGGAAAAGAGGAACTCAAAACTTAATAACCATCCCCCCCCACACACACACACATATACCCCGTAATAGTTTTTTTTTAAGATTTTGATTAATTTCTACATCTTTTTATTGTCAAAGTTTTGCTAAGGTGACTTGTCATTTTTTGGTTTCTCCCTGCCTCGGCCCAGCTTCCCCCTTCTCCACTTTGTTTATCAATTTTAAGTGTTTGCTTGATGTACACAAACTTATACTCATCTAGAATAATTGATCTCTGACACCTCGTAAAGTTAAACTTTGTTAACTCAAATTCTTGAATATATCGAAGTTTTAATTGGTCCAATCAAGTCTGAGATAACGAGCACTGACTGTATGTATTATGGGGAATATGTCTTGTGTTGGTAAAGGTTACTTCGAGAATGAAACAATAATATATCCTGATATTGTGTGTGTGAGAGAGAAAGAAGGGGGGAGTCCCTTTTTAACTTTTTTATTTTTAAAAAATTAAATAAAAATATACATACTTTTTTTTTTTTACTAATTATATTTTTTTTAAATCCTTCAATAAAATGATAGGTGTGAACAGCAACTTGATACGTTTTATAAGAAATATTTCTATATATCTTATTTTGACATGAATGAGGTTAAAATCAAACAAGAAATCAAACAAGAAACGATGGAAATGTTACCCAACGGTTAATTCATCGGGATCGAGATGCCTCTCATACCTCGATACGTATACGGATACGTATACGGATACGTCAGATAGAACAATCTCTAGCAACAAGCATTCTGAGAGTATTGCATTAGCAATACTAGTCCCCTACCGGCATGTGTAATCTGGTTCTCGGTTAAAAATTGAAAATGCCATAATTCCGTCAAAAATCACTGAAGTGGAATGAAATGCAAACTTAATATATAACTAATCAAGGTAAAGTTACATACCAAAAACCAGCTCAAAATCTGCAAGCGTTTAGAAAAAAAATTGCGGAAAACCCTTAGAAATTGAAGAAGTCGTAATTCCGTCAAAAATCAATGAAGCGGAATGAAATGTAAATCTGATCTGTAACTCATCAAGATACACTCACATACCAAAAATCAGCTCAATATCTTTAAAGACCCATTTTTCTACCGTACGGTTACCTGAGGTGAGGGAGTGGTCTTAGTTGTACTGGTGTTATTTACCTGGAGAGCCCCAGTACTCAAGATGTCAAATATCCCTATACACATTGTAGTACACAGGAAGTCTGTCTTTGGTAAGATCAACATTACGCGTTTTTGTCTAATTTTGAAAGAAACTATTGTACAAAATTTATATACTTTAATATAAAATTGGTTAACTTAACGTTTTCATCGATATCTTTTGATGGGAAAAAATTATAAAGAAATATCTTCTTTTTTTTCTAGAAAAAAAAAGTAAAACATAAATAAAGTCACGAATGAAAACTACAAAGCAATCATATCATATTTTTTAATCGTCAGTAAAAGAAATCATCATTTAATAAGTGTAAATATTGAAATAAAGAGATTTCATTTATCGTATGGACAATCCTACACATAGCCAGAATATCATTTATTTAACTGGCCAACAATCGTGTTCAACGTATTCACCACTGCAATTTCTGGGGTCCATGTTTTTACGCCCTTTTCACAGATTTGTATTGTTTGTTGACTTTTTTTAGAAGATCGATCATTGTTTGTTATCTTCATCCTTTTCAAATAAGAATAGGCCTATATACGTTATAGGAAATTCGAACAATGATTGTGACATTTCTTCCACCGAATGGTGTAGATTGATTTGTATTTTATAATCTGTTTGTCTTTAATTACAATTTTTTGCTAAAAATAGAACGACACTTCCAAATTGCAATTTAAAACAAAACATCGAATATCCTCTACAGTTTTTCTTCGGAAAGTTCTACAATTGAGTTATCTTGGACGTCATATCGCTTACAAGTACCAAACAACAATGGAGATTGAAAAAAATAAATCATAAATTATTTTTTGAAATATAATTACAAAACGATATTATAACGATTTGAATTTATTTTTACCAGAGTGTAGGCCTATACACACAAAGCGTCTATTCATGCGGTGCATGAAAGCGTTTCACGCCTGACCAGGTACAGGTAAACTTCGGTATCTCGAACACCGAAATGTCGAATACCAGTGATATCTCGAAGTGAATAAACGGTCCGGCCTTTTTTATATTTATGATTTTAAAAAAAAACTGGTATCTCGAAAACGGAAATATCGAATACCTCGCTTATTTCGAAGTAGATTTACGGTCCCAAGTGCAATAAACACATGCGTTATCTCGAAGTCCAACAAATTCTCGCTCCACTGAATTCACACCTTAGTACACATTAAAACATGATTGTGACGTAAACATTTTGTTTGTGTTGTCCATTCTATAGCTTAATGTTGAGCTAACTCCTTAAACTATCCATTAAGTTACCTGTAAGTGTCCATTCTTTTTGGAAAACTGTCCATTCTTGTAAGAATGGACAGTTTTTTTCAAGAAGAATGGACAGTTTAAACAAACAGAATGGAGAGTTACAGGTAAACCTTTGAATGTGTTCAAGAGGAAAACAAATACATTAAATACTCTTTAATTTACATGTAAATAACAAAAAGAACGCGGAGATCTAAGTTAATCTACACAGCATCCACTCAATTTTACTCTTTTAAATCCATGAATAATGCACATTATTTCAATGCTCAAAACTTAATTTTCACAAAACTTGAATTCAAATGACACAATTTCACATTTGCTTAAAATTTCGGAAAAATCAATCCCTCGAATAGAATTTTAGATAAAAATACGTTTAATATTAAATCCTCCACCCAGAAAACAGTTGCTGCAGGTAATATTTCGGTAGAAAATAAATAAAAATGAAAATTTCCAAATTTGATTTGAAAAACATTTTCAGTTCAAAGATTGGCTCATGGCTAATCCAACATTCAGAACACAATTTGCATCGCACCATTACACTGCTGCAGTTAATATATCCTCAAAAATAGAATTCAAATAAAACATTTCCAGGTTTGATTCGAATTTGATCATCTGTATCTGTCGTCGAAGTTCATTTTTGGGTCAAAAGTTGGCTAATATTTCTTTTACTTTTCTGTTTCCAGATCCAATTATTACTAATTTTGTGCATATTTTGGTTTATTAGATGTTCATTCTGTCATATACTCTTCCCATCACAGGAAAACATGTATGCCTTTACAACGCAAACTGTAAAGTGATTTTGAAGCATCGCATACTTGTATAAATACTAGTATCCAACAAAATCCACCTGTAACTGTCCATTCTTAGGACAAAGACCTTTTGTTATTTGCATCTGGAAACAGTATGGCTATTAAAAAAATTGCTCTGCATCCCTAGCTTACCTGTGACTGTCCATTCCGTAAACAATGAACTTGTCATTGTAGGTATGCTACCTGTCATATCTGATACCAGTTTTGTACATTTTTATTTAATTTTCAGATCAAAGGAAATCATGTTTTAAGTAGGAGAAAGGCCGAAAACTGTCAATTCTTTGAGAGAAAGAACTAATCTCGGGCCTACGGCCCTCGATTAGTTCTTTCTCTCACAGAATGGACAGTTTTCGGCCTTTCTCCTTTACATAATCCCATTATGCTAATTTTACGGTCTGTTGAACGTTTCCGTTAGGTCTAGCACAGGCTTCATGGGACCATTGCTGATAATCACACCTTATTAGCCCCAAGCTGTTGGTTTTGATAGTTAAATTTAATAACGCAGGCCAGGTGATTTGGAGGTGTTAATAAAATGCATACTCAGAGATATGATGACACGATAATGAAACAGCTGCTTTGGGGAGCATTTCTGTAATAGGAATTAAAATTTATAGCATGATTATTGCTATTATAAGCGATCGAAATTTGTAAAAATATTAAATGTAAGTGTTGCAGTATTGAATAAAATAATATATGCATTATAAGTGTATATGTAAATGTATTTTTGAAAATATATCACTAAGTAGGAACTGAAACATTTACCGCTAAAGTTATGCACGTGGTGGAGGGGGGTGGGTTAATTTCCTGTTATTAGAACATGTGACATAACAATATCGGTACCAAATTCTTCAACTTCGATATCTCGAACACTCGGATATCTCGAAGTTTTTCCTCAGTCCCGCCAAGTTCTAGATATCGAAGTTTACCTGTAATTGTTTCCAAAACATGCAAACTCAAATTATCAGGTAGCACAGGTAGCTAGCCTGTCAATCAAATCAGAAGCTTTTGCTTTTTTTAATTTTGACAGGCGGTATATTATTGATCTCGAATTAGGTAGATTTTCGGGGCGTGAACGTAAAATTGGGTGTTTAAGCGTTTAGGAAAAAAGTGCGGAAAACAAAGTTGGACAGACTGACAGACAGAGGGACAGCTAGACGGACAGACAGACAGACTCAGAGGAAACCTATAGTCCCCTCCGGTTTCACATGTAGGGGACTAATAATAAAAAGGAGAAAAAGAAACAGTAAAATCACTATAAGGTCTTCCGTGAAGACGAACTTTAAAAATAATAGCGGAAACACAGAATAAGAAGGTCCTTTGCTGAAGATTGACGACCTGAATTACAGGAAGATAGTTTCTATACATCCTGGTAAGGGCGCTTGCAATCACAAGGAGGCCGATACAAGGAGACCGAAGAAAATATAACTATGACGTCACAAGTCGGCGATTCGTTTATGCACAACTGCAAACTCTACAGACTTCCATGGACTCAGCCATATTTGTTTTCAAGAGCATGTTAAAAACGATGCGATTAGATCAGCTATTCGTAGCTGTATCCAGTCTTAGAACAGAGAATATCACCCAATTTTCGTAATGAGATCTGCCAAGGGCTTATGGAGTGGACTGAAAACCCTTGGCTAGCGAAGATGAAGGTAAGAAAACTAAGATATATTTACCGTTCTCACAGTTGCTGCCTTTATAACCTTGTGAACATACACATGTTGAATACATGCAGGTCCCTCCATGCTGACAAGAACATGGTGTCATTTTATCTAATACCAATAAAATATATCAAGTGACTGATGGGAGAAAATTTATATATTTTGCTGCTTGACTGAGACTATATATATATATATATATATATATATATATATATATATATATATATATATATATATATATATATATATATATATAGATAGATAGATAGATAGATAGATAGATAGATAGATAGATAGATAGATAGATATAATTTTCTCCACGTTTAACATACATATTTTTGATATTAAAAAAAATAATGCTTAAACATGAACATATTATTTCTAAAATTTACACCATGGATGTGTAATTAAAGAGGCATTAAGGCTTTTAATCTCTAAAAAAAAATTCTAAAGTAAAGTTTCATAGTACAATCAAAGTTTTACCATTGTTAACTTAAGTTTACTATATAGTATAGTTTATTTTTGTACGCCAAAATTATTCATTTCTATTAATCAATTAAAACGTGAAGGTAAACAATTTATAATGATCCGAAATTTGAATCTAGAGGACAAAGTTATACATCTATATTAGTAAGATGAAATTTCTATATCTATGTAATATATTTTTAATACATGCTAAACTAACGTACAACATTTGGTCTGAAGTATACATCGATTTAACAATTTTGTTTGAGTTGTCCTTGAGTTGTCATTATTGATCAATCATTAATTTACTTTCTTTAAATTATTTTTTTTTTCCTATTTACAATGCTCCAATAAATTAGGAAAAAATATTTTTTTCAAGTTTCATCCCCCACCAACATAATTGCTACCATTAAGTTTGGTTTCACTTAGCAGCTTCAGAAAGAGTAGAAATTTCAAAAGTAACAAAAACGGAGAAGCTCGGTTAGAACTGTCTTTGGGTGATCTTTTAAAAATGAATGTGTATCGTAAATCAACTTACTATCAGCGTAAAAGGCCAAGACAAATCCGTTACCAGCATAGCCGTAGTCACTTGAGAAACGCACGTTCACTGTCCTGCCCTCCAGTGGTATAGGGGAAGATGTCTGTAAAATGTTGTCTTCTGTCGGCTCACAAGTCTTCAAAAATAGGTTTTTATATGATAATCTGCCAAGGAATATGAACCTGAAAAGCGTTATTAGAATTTCAAAAAAAAAAAAAAGATTTTCAGGACCGATACAAGCTACATAGAGACTAAGGCATTATTCAGACTCGTTTTAGTTGTCGATTGATTTACTCTTTTCATGTACATGTATCTCAAAGACAGACATTTTTAACTCAAAACAAAATAGCAACTAAAATTAGCTACCATGTTTTCATATTTGTTCAAAAAGATTTGCTCTTTCAAGAAATCAGAGGAGCTGACTGCTATTGAAAGAGCTTCCGTCCTCCAAGAATGTAGGTTGGAATAGAGGCAAAGTGATACGCCGTGTGGCCAGATTTAAGATGTTATATTTTGATTGCTCAATCATTACCTCTCCCAACACATAAAGCAGAATCCCAATTTAAGATTAAAATTATATAAGCATTAACATACAATAGTTCCAAATTTAAAATTCAAGGAAGTTACTAATTGGTTTCTTTAAAAAAAAAAAATCTTAAGTAAACTTAAATCTATTTTGCATGTCATCATGCGTAAAAAGAAACCCTCTTTGAAAAGTAAATTTCCATGTAATTTATCACATCATTTTTTAAAAAACAAATCCATAGGGAAACTATGAAATAGGACTTGCAATCATTCAAATAAAGAAAACAAACTTTGAAATAAAAATAACCACTTCCTTTGATTTTTATGAACACTTTATTGCAAGGATATAAAATTCTTACTCTAGCTTAAAATACTGTTGATATGTAGTATGCACGTTACAAGCTTTGTTACAACGCACTTTGAAAAATTACGCACTTTGAAAAAAAATTTCAAAGTGCGTTAATTTTCGGACCACGTTAACGCACTTTGAAAAAAAAATATTTCTTTTCAAAGTGCGTTAATATCGACCATATTAACGCACTTTGAAAAAAAAAGTTCACGGCTTGGTCAATTTTCTTGCAAATTTTAGATATGATAAATAATTATTTGAACCTGGTTGGATGACTTTTTAATGATGACGTCAAGATCTGAGATATAGACGTTTTAAAGATTTTTAGGAGTTATCTTGTTTCCAAAGTTCTCCTGACTGTTTTAAAAGGGAAATGGGTCATTTACAAATAATGGAAGAATGATTGTTAAATAGCACAGTTTCGTTTCCTGTTTTTCTTTTCTTTTTTAAATTTTATCCAGAATAAGTTCGGTAGACATAGATGTCGATAAGTGACTTAAAGCATCGCATTTTTCTTAGTGAAAAGGGAGCAATTATGATTTTTCCATTCCATGAAAATTCTCTCTCTCTCTCTCTCTCATCTATCTTTCTATCATATTCATCTATCTATCTATTGTGAACATATATGAAACAATGGTTGACTCATTTATTTGATAGTAAGAAAATAAACCTTAGCCACATTACTCACTCCACTGAAATTTTACCTCGTTCACTAATAACTAAGGCTTTTTCTCAAAAAAGTTATGCAGTCAGATTACTTCTAAATCTGTAATTTTATATCATAAAAACGCTAGACAAGTTAAATAGTATGTTTTAATAACCACGTAAATGCCTTTTTCTGAGGAATCATTGTGGAAACATTTTGAATAAAGGTTATGCAGCTCTCTTCTTTCATATAATAGGGTACGTAATTTTTTTTTCAGGAATACTCATCTCAACTTTTTTATCTATTTAAATTAACTCAAATTTATTAACAGAATTTATTGAGAGAAATAATATCAATTTCATACCAGTTATGTAAATACATGTACATCTTTTTGTGTAGGAAAGATAGAGAGTTGGACTGAGGGACTTTCTACCTGTCTTCTCGTTCTCGATGAGGGTAGATCAATTCATCAGTTTTTCGGAAGAAATATAACAAATTATTGCTGTCTATTACTAAAATCTAAGTCCAGAATTTTTGTTTTATACGTATTTTTTCAAAGTGCGTTAAGTGTCTCCATGGTAAAAAATGTTGATGTACACTCTTAACACACTTTTAAAAAAAATTTCAAAGTGCGTTGATTTTGTCCCAAATTTAACGCACTTTGAAAAAAAATTTTCAAAGTGCGTTGATTTTGTCCCAATTTTAACGCACTTTGAAAAAATTTTTCAAAGTGCGTAATTTTTTCAAAGTGCGTTGCCACAAAGCTTGCACGTGTTAATAGATTAAATTCATATACAGTGAAAGCACTGACTTTCGTGGGGGGATAATTTTCGTTGTTTTCGAGGTATGAAGAGACCCACGAATTCATGTCTAGCACAAAATGTAATTGTTCACATGTACTACTCAATAATTCGTTATCCACAAAATCAAATCCCCGCGAACATATATTTTTTTTTTCTCAACGAATATTTGACCCGAAGAAAATATGTGATTTTACAGTATGTCGCCTATTTAATATCATATGGAAAGAGACTGTAGCCACTGAAAATTAGGCTCGCATGTCACAGGTTTTTGGTGAAAATTTGCCAATTATAATTTGACACAAAAATCATAAATCAATCAAAATTTGGTTGTTATATGTCTTGTTTACCATGGTGACAACCAGAGAAAAATTTGAAAAATATAGATTTTCAGCTACCTTGATTTTTTATCGATATTTTTATAAATTTTATATATTGTAAAGAAAACCAAATTAACCACTTTCTCAAAAACATTTCACCATGTCATAAAAACACTAAAGAAATGTCATTTAGAATATATCTCTACCAAAATGATAATCATGGATACATTTTGTATTAATTTAAAAAACTGGAAAACACTCAACATTCATTAATGATAGGTGTTACATAATCAAACTCAATCACCAACACAAGAAAAACATTGAAAACATTTGACCTCATGTTTAAGGGCATAAGTGCCACATGTACTTTAAAAAAATCATTTTCTACACTTTAATCTGTAGAGACAGATATATATATATATATATATATATATATATATATATATATATATATATATATATATATATATATATATATATATATATATATATATATATAATTAGAGAAAGATCCTTATATACACTGTATATATATACTCAGTACTTCATTTTGAATAATACTTGTTGAAAGTATTATCATTGCGAATTTCAAGAATCTCTGTGACCATGCATGCCCTCAGCTCCTTTATAAGAGTTAAAGTTGTTACAGAGAATGGTTTCTAAATACTAGTAGTTATATTTTTTTCTGAATTAATACATTGTTGATTACTGTAAATCTGGTGCATCAAAATTGGTACCGTATATGATTTACATTAACTATAATAGTAAATAATTGATTTTTGATATGATATCAAATGTTGTAAAAAACTTTGTTTTTTTTTTAAGATAGAAAAATGGTTTGCTAACTTTACATTTTACAAAAAAAGACCAATGCAAATAATTATCAAAATTATTCATATGAAAATATTTTTGAGAGGAGTGCATTACATTTCTTACGGAACATTTCGAACACATAAGCTTACATCTCAAAAAGATTTCTTTTTCTTTTTTTACATTCTGTAAGATGAACCATAAAGAGTGGTATATGTGTACTAACTCTAAACAAATTTGACACGGATATTCTCGTTTCTAACAATAAACATAACAATTTACAGTTAACTCACCTCTACGTACCTGACACTGACGTCCGATCGTGATTGATTATTGTGATCGTATTAACATGATAAAGGGTAACAAAAAAAAAACACTTGCCATTTAGACCATCTATCCTCGCGAAGTCAGAGCAGCCATCAAACTACATCTCTAGATATTAGAACCGAAATTCAAATACTAAACGGGTATCTCTCTCAATGACTGCTGGTTCCACAGTCCATAGACAATTCAAATTACTGAAAATAATAAAATCATAAGTAGGGATTCTTCTCATATTTATTTATCTAGAATATAATGAAATTTTCATAGATTTTCATGGATTCGAAAAAAAACTCTTATTTTGGCAGCAAGGTCAGGTCAAGGTCATTATCTTTTT